AGTGAACTGAAATATGTATGACAAGACCATCCTGATGATGGTCTGGTGTGTGATTGTATAGGAACCACACCTAGGAAAATCAAAAGGCCATATACATGGAGACAATATATTTCTATATAATCAAAATATAAAATAAAAAAATGATACAACTTTTATTATATTAATTATATTTTTTTCTGGTATAAATGAATAATACTACAAATGTTCAAATAATATTTTCTCATATCATCATCATTATATAATAATATGGCACAAATATGGTCCCCTGGCTCACTAGGAAGACTTGTTATGTCAATGAGGATTGGCCTTAGAATGAATAAGTCCTCATGTTTAGTCCAGATAGTCTCAAAATGACCCTGAAATATGACATATCTCAAAACAAAAACAAAAAAAAGTTGGTGGGGAGCTGACAGTTTAATAAAGTGCTGCTGATCCTTTGTTTTTTGTTCTTTTATTTGATTTATTTTTGTTGTTGTTATTCTTCAGAAAACGGGCAAATGGTGTGCTGTTCATGTCCAGGTGGCATGGCGTATTTACCATCACCAACAGAAACAGCACGAGGCTCAGAAAGGTGGGGCTGACACGAAACCCGTGATAGACCCTCTACGGTCACCAAGCCATTTGCTTCCTAACAGTAGTATACATCGGCCCCCTGACCTGGGTACCAGTGCTCAACAAGCTCTCCTAGGTACCCTCATCGGTAAGTACAGATGTTGATTCGCACACTTTTTTTCTTAGCAACACTTTGCTAATTTGATAATTGATACGCCTCTTTCCAATAAATGTTTTTCACCTTTGATTTTCTCCCAATTCATTTTAATTCTACTTATCGTCAGTGCTTTTCTTCATTAGCAACCAGTTTCCAGCTGATTATTAATTTTTGACTAATTATGTTTGAGAAATATCTTTTATCAGTTGGCACACTCTTTGATTATTAAAGCAGCCTCTGATCAAAGAATGGGGCTGCAGAATTGTAATCTAAGTCTTTTGCCAAATAGCAAGACCAACATCACTTAAAGACTTCTAACAGTAGCAACAACTTAAATCAGTACTAGAAAAAATGATAACTATGGCCTTGATATTATAAATTTCAACCAACTGTAACGCTAACTGTTCTGTCAATGATTGCTGAGTGTTTCCTTAAAATGGAACGGTTAATGTCAACATTACCATTGTATCTCATTTCTCGAGAATCTCTCTTATGTAGACAATACAAAAGAAGACTACTTGTTAGTTCGGATCCGTGAGGTGGAATCAATAAATATGTAGCTTAAAACAGTCTTTTGAATTATCATCGGAAATTTTCACTGTATGTTTATTACAGACTCTGAACATTATACGATATTGAATGAGGACAAAGACCATTTCTTTTACACATTTTTCAACACAACCTCCTTCTTCATCAATTTTGCTGCAGTGTTTATAGCACCTTTTTGTTGCTTTTATCATTAAATATGTCCTCTGATCTTTAAATTGCTATAAATTGAGAAAAGAAGTAACTTTTGTCAGAACTTGAACTTTGATCCCATTATTGATTGATTCTTTTGATGATAATTATCATGTATCAATTTTTTTTTTTTTTTTTTTTTTTTTGCTCCATTAAATATTTTTCTTAGCCTGAAACTTGTAAGCCTGACAAGAATCGTATTAATCTCCAAATGAAATTTATTTCAACCATGAAGTGATACTGACACTTTATGAAACAATTATTATTATTTAGATAAAGACTACTCTCTCCATTTTGATCGTGGCTCTAATCACCGGTGTTCCTTCTTATTTAAACATAAAAGTATTTTGTCATGGCTTTCTGCTATTAAATATACTGTTAGAATGTTGCAACTTCCTGGAAATCTGAAATAATTATTACAGAGGAAACAATCCTAGATAACTTTTTGAAAATATTAAACCAGATAACATCCAGCAATTTGTCTAAAAGATTGATGTTTATAAGTGTTTACACGAACAAAAAAAAAATTTACCTTCAATCATTCTTGATAAACAATAAAACTTGTTTCCAAACATACCTGACAAATAATAAAACTTCTTCTCTACCATACTTGGGAAATATTTTCTTTCAACCCTTCCTAAGAAATTATAACATTTACCTTCAACCATTTCTGAAGAATTGTAAAACTTACTCTCATCCATACTTGACAAACTATAAAATATGTTTACAACATGATCAATTTGGCTTTAAATGATCCACAAGAGGTTGTGGGGTCATTATACACAATCAATGAATCATTACATAATCTTCCAGCTAAATTGTGTATCGCATCATAAAAAAAGAATTTCAAATTTGATCAATATTTTTTTGGCTTAAAATTGCTGGAACTGCTTAGACAAGGATTCTTAGCTGATGATTACAATGTATACCATTCTAAAATGTCAAAAGTTTCAGTAATTTTATGGACAATGTGCTTCTTAATTTAAAGTTTGACAGCATTACAGTTGTCTTAACCTCTGTCATTAAAGAAAGATTGTCAAAGAAAAAAAAAGCAGCGACCATTATTGAGGAGGTTCAGCTAATTCTTTGGAGTTGATTATCAATGATTAATTTTAAGATGGACTCCTGCCAAAGGTGTTTCTGAAGTGCATATGCCTGCATTGTTGTCACTTCATGTCTCCAAGAACAACAGGAAAGATTGCAGTTCCAATATTCACATACACAATGTTCAATTTCCTCTCACAGGATAATCAGGAACAACATATCCCCAGGGTTAGATGAAATAAATAATAGAGACAGTTTTTCCACTGCTATGGCTCAGATCTCCATCAATAATGGAAGAAAGAAAAAAAAAAGAGAGCCTTTTTAATGTTTTGACTTGAAATTCTAAAGTTTACATTGCACAAATGCATACAGAGTTAGGTCATGATTTTTAAAATCCCTTTTTCTGACAGTGAAACAGATTGTGTGCCTGCTATTATTCAATATGTGCTCCTCCTCCTCCTCTAGCTGTCAGCTTTGGAAACGTTCTCTAAGGTTGGCAATGCAGGTTTGCTTTCTGACTAAACAATTGATTTTAGTTGCTCTTCACAAACTGAGAAGTTAATCACTAGAATTAGTTGCACATTGACAATGATTCTTGGTTGGCTTGGATAAAATCTACAGAATGTCTATATTATGGCGTCTATTTCCTGTTTACCACTTTTTCTTTGCTCACTTATTTTTGGCTTTACGTTTTTTGAAAATGATAACAAAATCTCTCATTTAATTTGCAGAAATTAGTCTTTAGTTTGTTTTCTATTTCTTTTAGCATTTTGCAACCAATTAATGGTACCGATTAGAATTTTTCAATATTGGCAGCCATGAGAAGTATACTGTCCGTCACAGTAATTTATAACACTGAGAGGTAGATGGCTGCAAATGACTCTCCTGTGATGAATTTGCCACCCTTCCAATATAAAATAGAAACCTTCTGTTTTAACATCCTTATTATCAGTGACATTAGCAAAGTTTAAAAAAAAAACAAAATGTTTGTAGAGTAACAATAACAAAGAAAGAATTTTGAGAATGTTTTTCTTCACTTTTCTTTAAGGATCTGCCAGACCCTCTTTTGACTCAGGACCTACACACCACAGCAGCTTTTTAAACCCTGCACATATAGGTAAGTAAATGTGCTTTCTTCCACTGTTGTTCATGGCAAAAGTGGGTGATGCTAATTTAGATATTTGAGGAAGGAACAAATATTAGCGGATTTGCAAAATTATTATTACTTTAATAAAGATAATCTAAATTCCTGACTGATATTTAATTGTTAGCAGATTCGCACAATCAATCCTCATTCCAAGAAATCTCGACAAACACTTTCCATACAATACATGTGTTGAAAAAATTAAAAACCCTTTATATATTTTAGAAAAATGTGCATGTATATGCCTCGAGGATTTCTTTGCCAAAAGCACTCCACCTTGTATATTTTTAAGACATTGTTATAAAAATAAATTCTATGATTAATTTTTATTACATAACAAAAAAATATCCGAGTTTATCTTTTCTCTTTATTTTGTCTTTTTATTTAATAATAATTAGATCAGGTTTTTTTTTTTTTTTTTTTACTTTATGCATGTGATATCATAGGTAGGATTTTTTCAACAAATGTTCACTCTAATGATTACATAGGCTTTCAGCAGTAGAAGCAGTATGCTATGCAAAGGAAAAATTTTGGAGCCATGTTTAAAGAATATATTTTGGACCTCCCCCCCTCCAAAGAATTTGTAAATAACCACCTTTTTAATAATTCTAAAATCTTAACAAATTAATACATGATCCACTAAAAAGCAATCTGTGAAGATCATTCACAGGGTTATGAGTAAATGGAAATCAATACTGTAGTAATATTGGTTAGGAAATAGAATTTTTCAATATTTAAATAATTTTCATAACTGAATCTGTATGTTGTCTATTGAAAAGGTATTGTCATTGGTCAAGAATTAATACAAGTATAACTAACATAATAGTACTATTAGATACAATTTAAGCTGTTAATGGGTGTGTTTTTTATGTTACTATTTTTTTATTGCTATAAACATTTTAGATTAGGCATCAGTTGAAATTTCACTTTTTATAAATAAACTTGAATGTCTATTCAGTCATGCATTCACTAAAATATTGTTTATAGTATATATATATATATATATATATATTATATATTGAAGAAATGTAGTTTTAAGGTGTGCTATATTTATGGAATAAAGTGCTCAATGTCAGGGATAGAGTATATGTAAATATAAAAGTGAACATTGAAGACAGCATTCAGATTAGACAGACTGTTTCATGCTAAAGGCAATCATCGGGCCACTGTTTGGCATTAAACAGTCTGTCTCATCTGTTGACTTCAATGTTCTCTCTCTCTCTTTCTATATATATATATATATATATATATATATATAAACACACATACATAATGTAAATGTATTTCAAATGACTTTCTGATATTATTTATACATTGTTAATCCAGAAGAAAGTTATTGTCAGTGGTCAGGAATTAAAGCAAAGCATTATTAACAGAAAAGAATTATGAAATGATAAGAAGGTTTGAAGGGAAATCTTGAAGAGAAAAATACTGAGTTATTCTTTGGAATTGAATTTTGTTAAGAATAATTATTTTCTTTTGTTTATGCAGCAAGTGTCTCACCTTTTGCCCGGCCATCACCGTACAGTGTTGGATTCCCTGGTTTACGTAAGTAAATTGTTGTTTGAAGCAATTTGGTTCTTATATTAAGCATCAGCCAAGTATAAATAGGATTCTTTATTTGAAACATAAAAATGTTTATTCACATGCAGACTATTGTCCTCATCTTTGTTGCTGTTATTACAAAAGGTTTCTGCAATTGAGCCTTCTGAAAATATTGTAATGACAACAACAAAGATGATGACAATGGTCTGCAAGTAAAGGAGGAGGATTCCTCATCCCAGAAATTCAATAAATAAAAATATTTATAATGTAAAGCCTTCAAAACTAAACTTTTCTCCATTAATCATCTGAGAAGATCCTTCTCAGCCTTTTATCAGTATGGCTGATGCTAACCTCCAAGAGAATGGCTCATTGCACTTTTTTTGGGTTAACAGTCTCAGCTGAAATGAAGTGAAAAGACTATATCGAATCTATTGCTAGGATCAGCTGCTAAGAAAGTTGGTTCACTGTGTCATGCAAGATAAAGTCTAGCATTCATCCATATTTATGGTCCGGTGTCCCTGCTATTTACTTTGAGCTCCTTGATAAGATCCAAAGAAGAATCAACAATATTATTGGTCTTGATCTGGCAGCTCAGATTCAGTCACTTTCCCACTGCTGTAAGGTTGCCTCCCTGTGCCTTTTCTATAAATATTTAATGGTAATTGTTTGGATGAGATCTTTGCTATGGTACCTAGACTTCTAGACTGGCATCGAGGTCTCATCAATTTATAGTTGAGCTAGCTAGATGTAACTGTAAATTCTATGCTAACAGTTTCTTTTCTCACACTTCTTGCTTGTGGAACTCTCTTCTAGTTCCATGCTTTCCAGCCAACTTTAATCTTCAAAAATTTAAATTCAATATTAATTACTATCTAGCGTCTTCCTGATTACTCTTTTTGTTCCTGTTCATTAGTTATGTTTCTGTTACTAATTCTTTCACAGCCAATAGTAACACCTTGTGTCTTAGTGACTTTACTGCCTTGCTTTGGGTGAAATCGATTAAAAAATGTTAAATTTTTGAAGATCAAAGTTGGATAGAAAGCAAGAAGCTGGAAGAGAGTTCCACAGGCAAGAAGTGTGAAAAATGAGATTGTTAGTGTTGAACTTATGGTTACATCTAATCAATTCAACTGTAAATGAATGAGACCTTGTTGCCAATCAAGTACTGTGCTTAAATTTATAAAATTTTGGTACCATAGAGGAAAGTTCATTAGAACAATTAGCATGAAAGTATTTATAGAAAAGTCACAGGGAAGTAAACTGGGAAAGTGACAGAAACCAAGATGCCAGGTCAGGATTGATAACATTGCAGATTCTTCTTTTGATTTTATCAAGTATATAGCAGGAGCACCAGAACAGATGTGTCAGCAATATTCAAAGCAAGGACGACTGGTAAACGTATAAATATGTAAGATAGATTCTGATGAGAAAAATTGTCTAGAATAACACAGTTAACAAACTTTCCTGGCAGCAGACCTAGCAATTGATTCAATCTGTTTAATTGCTTGTATTTTTTTTTCATTTTCAAATAAGGGGTTGAGCATTCTTATGGATAAACAGTTCAAAGTTCATCTTAATTTTTTTTTATAACCGTGAATGAAAATTTTTCATATCCTTTGCTTAATGTTATCAACTGCTCTTTTTTCTTATCTAAAAGACCCTGTCATCATCTCAATCATTATGAGAGTAAAGTTTTCCTAACATTTTGAATTTGTTCTTTTTATCATAAGAAGCAGAGAAATCTTGTTGCATTGATAATGTCTTTTTGGAATGATAGTGTTTTCTTTTGTGGCACTCATTGATTCTTTTTCTTTCCTTTTTAGCAGGTAACAGTTTGTTCAATGGTAGCCGAGAATTGTCCAGCATGTCAACTTTATCCCCAGAATGGAACAGATTACACAAAACGCCATCATCATTCCCAACACCCCCATCATGGCCTAAGACTGATGTCGAGCGTGAAAGGGAAAAAGAGAGAGAAAGAGAGCTTGGTTTACATGACAGGAGAAAAGAGGAAGAGAGAGAAAGGTAAGGAACATTTCAAATAGATGAGGATGACTGGCTTGGAACTTAAAATATTACTGCCCAAGATTCACCTTCATTCCTCCCTGGCTTTAAAGAAGGAAAAAAAAAAAAAAACTTTCTAAATCCAGTTTTGCTTTGAGAAATGAAAGTCTTAAACAATTGTAGATATTGAAAATAGGTGTAACATTTTTTATTAAGAGTTTCAAGTCAGTTCAGGCTTAGGGCATCCTGGGTAAGACAATAAACTACATCCAGCAGCAAGGCCTTTGATCAGGAGATTTTGAGGAGAATTGCTGTTGTTCCCAGGTTCACCCTGACCTCGGGTGGTAGCACCTGTTAGGATCCCAACTATGGGCAAATAGTAAGACCCCCACCACCCAACAAACTGGGGTCAAAATAGGTTTTATTACCAGCAATACTTTTTGGGGAAAAAAAAAATTACCAGCAATAAAAATCTCAACCCAATTAAATAACCCCCTGAGGTTGATATGCCATATAACAAAACAAATCAGCCCATCAGATTTAGGCCTGCTACTATTAACATGTAATTCAGTACAAACTGCCACATGGATGGGTTGTCGGTGTCTAAAACAGCTTCCCACAGCTCTCATGAGTCATGTCACCCTACAGGACAAAAAAAAAAGACTTATCAAAGGGCAGATAATGACCAATTATATATATATATATAGGCAGGATGTATGTAACGAATGTGCGACCGCAGTTTTTGACGGATTTGCACCAAAATTTACATGCACATGCTCCAAGTTAGCGGGAAGGCCAAGACCAACTTTGCATTTCCCAACTCCCATCGATAGTGGAAATAATCGATTTTTTTCATGCTTCTACAACAGCTTTCATGTAGTTGGCGGACATTTTGTACTGGCCAAAGTGAGAGCCAATAGCTGACTGCCACGAATAGGCAGGAAGATTCTATTGGCCAGCGTGAGAATCAACAACTGACTGATATGAATGTTAACTAGCATGCAAAACAATTGATAGCTGCATTCGTCACAAGTGGGAAAAATTTAAATCTGCATGGCACTTTACTCCAATTGGCTCATTCGCTTGCTTAAACTCAACGTTGATTCTGATTCCGCAGAACCGGGTTTGGTGTGAAAATGTATTTGTTAACATTCTTTTTTCATTCAGTTTTTCCAGTTACGAGTCCTTTTTTAAAGCTGATTGTTTTGTGTTCATTTTGTTTAGTTCTTTTTTCGTAACAGATTTAATGTTTAGTATAGAGCTTAGAAAAAAATTTGCAGTGTGAGTAAGGCATGTAGCAACATCAGCACATCAAAGGGCACTCCTTTAAAGGCAAGGAAGGGCAAAAATATTTTAAGTCAAGTGATAGCTGTATGAGTCGTACGATTTTTGAATCAACCACAGGCAACGCTGCTAGTATATATATATATATATTGGTAGGATGAAGTCTCAAGCCTTAAATGGCAACTTTCCTAGAAATACTGCCTTGACAAAAACAGTGTAGTTGGCTACACTCAGTGCCTGAGTTGGGTGTCGGGAAAAGTGTCCATTCTTGTAAAACCTTGCCTCAAATCATGACACATCTTTTGTCAGGCAGGGCCCACCTTGCTTTGGACAAGATTAATCCATACAGCTATGTATGTTACTATTGTTTGGGCAGTAGTTGTGGAAGAAGAGAATTTCTAACCCACCCATGCCCCGGTTTGCATGCAGGGTAATGAATTTGTGCCTTTCCCAAAGGTATTTCTGATATGTGAACATAAGAAACTTTTCTCAAAGTGCATATGTAAGACACAGAATGTGCTTAAGCCTAAGTTTGGCTCGACATTTTGTAAGGGTTTGAGCCTGCCTTGTGGCATCTTAAGAGACTCTTAGAAATAAACATCAAAGGCAAGTTTTCTTTTATTCTGAACCGAACTTGTTCATTAATATATTGAACCATAATTAACATTTGTTGTTTGTCTTGATTTTTCAGAGAGAGAAGAAATTTGGAAAGACTTACCAGCCTTGACATGGACCGTGGAAGAGACAAGGACAGAGCCGATCGATATCGTGAGGCAGAGAGGAGAAGATCTCGTTCCCGGTCTCGTTCACCTATTCGCAATGGCCGTCTTGAACCGCCCAAACAAGACCTAATGGATAAACGGCACGATGATAAGTCAAGCCTGAAAATCAAGGAGGAACGTCGTGATGAAGATGTACATCTCCTCGAACGTGATAAACTGCTTAGAAATAATGAGTACCTGTTTGCCTCTCTTCCACACACGACAACCGCAATGCCTGTAAACATGCTGGAACGTGCCCGCATGCTTGGCCCTCGATACTACAATAATGAAAGGCCGCAACTCGGAGTGTGGAACCCCTATGATAAGGGTTTCGATATGTCACACCGGTTGGAACTGCGTGAAATTGAACGTGAGCGTGACCATCTGATGGGAGCACGCTTCAATCCTAATGACCTTTACTTCAGGGAGAGAATGTTCGATCGGATGCCTATTTTTGATCGAGAACGATATGAATACGAGGCTAATAAATTACCGGCTCTTCGGCCAGTTGATCCCTTATCTGTTGGACACTTTCCTCGCACTGTGAGTCCGATGGTGAATCACTCAAGTAAAAGCAATTCACCGGCCAGTATCCCAGGTGCCCCACCCCCTTTGATCCCTTCATCAAGTACATCACATCCAAGAAGTCATACAAATTCCCCGGCCAGTTCGAAGTCTAAGGCCAGTAGCCCATTGGACAATGTCAGTGAACTCAAAGATAAAAGAGACACTCATTCAAGCTCAACTGACCCTGATACACATTCAAGATAAGAATGAATAGGATATTTGGGTGGGGGGGGGTTCTTGTATTTAAGAGAGAAAAATATATATATATATATAATAATTAAAAAAAAAAAGATGGAAAACAAACATTTAACGAATTTAAAAAAAAAAAAAAAAAAGTTTTCTTTTCTTTAAACCAACAAACAGGGACTTTTTAAAAGGCAAGAATTCAGAAAAATTCTTACCCTCCAAAAAAAAATAACAGAAGATGGACAAAGATTTCAAAAGGGAGAAACATTACAGTGAAAAAAAGGAAAGAGAAATTATGGGGACATTCCAACCGTACTATGTATGGTAGGTAAGTAATAATGGAAGGACATCTAATAAAAGAAGAAAAACAAACCAAAAATTACTTGTTCCAACTGTATCGTGTGAATGTACAGTGGACAAAACTCAATGACCTTCCAAAAAACAAATTTATGACAAAAGATGAAATGCTGCAGTGGCCGTACCATTTATGGGTACTAAAGAAACTTGAAGAGGTTTTACTTAGAACACGAAAAGGTAAAAGAAATTCAGGACCAAAACTCAATCATAATTCAAAACTGTCAAGAATAACAAAAAAAAAAAAAAAAAAAAAAAAAAAAAAAAAAGGAAAAAGAAAAGAAACCAATCTTGGTCGTTGACTGGCTGTGTTCATTCTTTCTTTGGGGGAGAGAGAAAAAAAAAAACAAATAATAGTGAATTTCCCATTATTATTACTTTTTTATTTTTTTTATTTTTTTTTTAATCTTGTCATGTAAACTCCCTCTTTTCCATGTGTGTTGAAAGTGGGTAAGTTTTAAATAGTTTGCCAGGAGTGTGATGAACTGTGAACCCTGGCACCCATGCCACAACAACTATCATCATCATCATCATCATCATCATCGTCTTATTCAGCTAGAGAGTGTCACATGATTTATATGCACCTGTAGGAACCTCTGTATTTAAATAGTGGTTTGCACCTGCCACGTCTGCACTTCATCATGTGACCGCTAGACAATAATAATAATAATGATAATAATACTACTACTACTATCTCAACTTCTCCTCCTCCTGCTGCTCCTCTTTGTTTGACAATTAAAACAATTTTTATTAATAAATTATAAAAAGATAAAAAAAAACTGACTTCAAAACAGATTCTTTAAAAAGATTTATCTTAACTAAGATTTTTCTTAAAGATGTAAAAAAAAAAAAAAACAGAAAAGAAAAACCAAAGAAACTTTGCCAATATTATTAAAGAATTATTCAGTGTTTGGTTAAGAATTACAGCAGAAAATAGGGAATATATGGAGAGAGAGGAAGAGAATTTAAAAAAACAAAAAAAAAAAAAAACAGTTTCAAGTAGAAAGAATTTTCTGAATGCCAAGAAATTGTAATTTGCTACAAAAGAAACAAAATTATTTGATCTCTTGATTAGTTTTGTCCTCATTTAAAACAAAAATATTGATAGATACTTTTTTTTTTTTTTTTTTCTGGCTTATTTTTTCTCTTTAGTTATTTTTGGTTTCAGTTTTAATTGAAACTATATTTTAATTTTTTTTATCCATTTACTTTGAAAATGAAACAGGATTGAGGATTTTTTTTTTATATGTATATATGGGAATATGATAAATTTAGTGGAGAGAACAACAACAACAACAACCAAAACAAAACCAAAATTATTGCTTTTCTTCTGGGCCTGTTTATTCTGGGCAGTTCCATCCCTACGCCACTTAGGAAGATTGTGTCTTTAAAGAGACAAGCAAACAATAAGACAAGAAATACCACGCTACCTGTCAGAGCCCCGCAGGGCTTTGTACCTTTAAAAAAAAAAAAAAATTTAACTTAAGAGGAGAAAAATAACTGTTCTCTCAATATGTCAAATCAGGACTTTTTTTTCCTGCCATAAATTAGACAATTAAATGTTGGCCTCTATCAGGTGGACAAGAAACCCTTTAGGAAATAATTGACAAAATTAAAGACGAGACTACAGCCATTCATACTCTTAAATTATTTTGTTGGTGAGGGTGTATGTACGTGTATGTATGTACGTAGCATTTCTCTGCACATACACACACCTACATACACACACATTCAGCATCTCATTTAACTTTTATTTTTACATTAAAAAAAAATCTTATTAAAAAGGAAAAAAAATTATAAAAAAAGAAAATTTAAAAAAAAAAAAAAAAAAGCCGTGGTTGGGAAGAAAAGAAATTAAATCCAAATGATAATGACTTTCTTTTTTTTTTTAATAAAAAAAGAAAAATTACAAATTATAAAAGAAATGAAAAAAATAAAAACTTGAAAATAATTACACAAAAAGTTAATGAGTGTCTAATTGAGTAAATAATTACTGATTCCTCAATTTAAAAAGAAAAAAGTTTTGCCATTTTCTTTTTATATAAAACATTTTTAAAAAAAATAACCAAAAAAAAAAAAGTTTTTTTAAATGGCGGCAAATTTAATTTCCCAGATTTCTTCCACTCCAGATGCCTTGCACAGGCAAAAAAAAAAAAAACAGAAAACTAACACACCAAAAAGAAAAAAAACAAAGAGAATAATGTGAATCTTAAGTACTTTTTTTTTTTTTTTTATTTTTATTGTTTGATTTTTATTTAATTTTTTGCTGATTTTTAAACTTTAAAAAATTTTTTTTTTTTTTTTTTTTAAATTTTTATTTTTAAGAATGTATGAAACAATGTACATAAGCATAAAGACCAGGTCAGGTTGTGGCTCAGAAATGATATGGTCCGTCACAAAAGAAAAAACAAAAAAAAAAAAAAATCCAATGTATTATAAAAGATGTTTCTATTCTGAAATAGAAACTCCCAAATAAAACTTTGTAAATTTAATGAATTCCATAAACATCTTCTGATTTTTTTCTTTGGTTTTTTTTTTTGTACTTCAGTGTGCATGTGGATTGTAGGGGTTTTCAGGTACAAACATGTGTATTGAATACAGGTAACAGCTGAAGGACCTTGGGAAAGGCATGAATACACTATTCCTTGCACCATCTCATGGTACTACTTATCCAGAAAAAAAAAACACTTCCATAATTATCATTATTCAATAAAATGACAAAATTTGATGGCATATATAAGACACACCCCAATTTCAGCAGGGCAATTCAAGAAAAAATTAGTAAAATTATTAGTAAATGGTACAGCCTAGTCTATATTTATTAGGTATTATTTTGGTTAAACAAGCCATGACTACAATTAAGCTAAAAATAATAGGGAAAAATAAGAACACTAGCCTATAAACACTTTATTATATCCGAAGGTAAGAAAACAAAATAAAAATAATTATTACAATTGAGCAAAAAAAGTACAGTTATTAAAATTTAGTCAAAAATTTTTTCTTTATTTGATCTGTACAACCTGCGTCTTGTAAACGTCTTAGTGGAATAATTAGGATATAAAAATTCAGATTGTATTTATACCCATGCAACTGGGAGTTATTGCAAGAAAAATATTTTACAAATATGTAATTTGAATTTATTGGATGTAATTTTAGTTAGGTAACTCCATGAGATTGCTAAAAAAAACAAAAACATAGCATGATGAAAAAGATGCCAAACTTGACAAAAAAAAAATTTTATCGTCTAAATGTTTGTGTTATTATTAAGAGAAAAGATCAAATTATTTTGGGGGTATTTTTTTTTTACATTTTTTAAATGTTCCTAGCACATCCGAAATTTTCATTAATCTTTTTTTTTTTTCTTTTCTTTTTGAGTCAGCAAAATTGACATGTCAACCATTTTTTTTCCATTCTTTATCGATCTCATGGAGGTACCTAACTTTAGTGAAACAAAGTACTAATATTAAACGTGATGAAATTAATATAATGAATAAACACTTTTCATCTGCATAATAGCTTTTAAATAATGACAATAGGTATAAGATAAGTTGCTCTAAAGTCTAAGCTGATAGGAGTTGCCGCCTATTTGCAAATTTTAAACCTGCATATGGCATATAAGACATGGGTGAATTTTAAGATATTTTTAGTAATAAAAAAAGTGTACCTTATATGACATCATATATATATGGGGGTGTGTGTGTGTGTATATATATATATATAAAAAACTAAGTATCAATACTGCATGATTACTGTCATTCATGCTTCACTGCAATTGTCATCTGATGGTCACCATGCAGTGTTGATTTCTATGTCCACATTTACTATTCCTATAAATGCTCTATCTCTGATAATGAGCACTGTTCTCATAGAAATATTGCAAATTTCAAACAATATATTGGGTTGGTGAAAAAGTCTGATTTTCATCACCGCTAAGCTTTAAGCACTCTGTAAACTTTAAGCACTCTGATAAGTAATTAACATCTTTTTGTCAGTCATACACATTCTTTGTGTGTTTGGGATCATTCCTGAAAATGGTGAACGAAAACAAACATCAACACCTCATGCTTTTATATTTTAAAAAGGCAAGAAAGCAATGGAAACCTGCAGGAAGGTATACGCCTCATATATTATGGAATGTATGCACCAGACATACGAAATACACCTTGTTCTGGCTAGTCAACAGAAATTAATGCTGATGAAATGACCAACTCCATTTATACAACCAAGATGATTGCAGATATTCTCCAAATAACCAAATCAAGTGTAAAAACCATTTTCATCAATTTGGTTATGTCAACAGACTTGATGTTTAAGTCCCGCATCAATTGGATGAGGCTAACCTCATCCAACAGATTTCCATCAGCATTTCATTGCAGAAACATGAAAAAAAAAATTTTTTTGTTTTAAGAGATTGTTGATGGGATTAAAAATGGCTTCTCTATAACAAAGTGAAGTTTAAATGATTATAGGGATGAAGCGAAGCGAGCTATCACAGCCAATCTCCAAAATCTGGAAAATGTGATTCTTTTGAGCTTATGGGATTGGAAGGGGTACTGTCTTTTAAGAGCATCTTCCCATGGACAGGGCCATCAATTCTGTTGTGTACTGTGACCAGCTGGACAAATTGTTTGTCTGGCATTGTCCATCATCATGACAATGCCAGA